GTGTTAGACAAATTAAATACTAAGATATAGACGCTATTAAATAAAACCTCTGCCAAGTCCCCTTTCACAGTAGTATCTCTGCCAACATACACCTCTTCACCCTTGTCTACAAAGGGAATAGAAGGCATATTGTAATCCTGTTTCCTTTTTTCCTGCTACTAGGGCACTGACATCTTCACAGTAGCGTCCAGGTAAACAGCTCTGCTGATGCAACAAAACTGACATACTTCCTTTTGACAACTTGGTAACACCTAATTGTATTGTGTCCCATCACTGATTCATGAAGTGCTGTCAAACCTGTTGTTCTTCATTTTCTCTGTACTTGAATCAACAAAAACATGTAATACAATTGTCTTCCCATTTCCTGCTAATTGCTCTCAAAAATATCTTGAAGTTGTGGGTTTAAAAACAAGTTCTCCTTCTTAGGGCTTCTACTTATATAGAAGTAAGCCTTCATGTTCATACAAACATTTTACAATTAATCCCCTTGCAGTTCTTGATTATATCCTTCCTTCTGTCTACTGGTAGTTACAGTGACTTTCTCAATGAGAAAAAAATGTAGGCTTTGTGAATATTGGGGGGACAGGGATGGACACGACCAACCCACACAACAAAAAACCAACAAAACAAAAAAACCCCAAGCCCAGAAAACTATCAGCCCTTGTTTCATTTGAATTTTCTTTATCTATTTGCTTTAGAAAAGTCTCTCGTGAGGTCTAGTTTTCTTCACAGGCTAGAAACTCAGAGCTGTTAAGACTGATGACTGACTAGCTAGCAGAGCTCAAATATAGCTTCCTTAGTGGAAATACTGTGCATGTCACTTGAAACATAGCAACAAAAGTTGCCGATTATTGCTAGGAGCTAGGAACAAACTACTAAATAACAAGCATCTTCGCCTTGAGCAAGAGTACATTTGATACAACTAGTTGATATTCTTGTGGGACTTGGGTATAGAGTAGTAACAAAGTACAAAGGATGGTACACAATTAATTACGGAAGTTAACTATGTTTTGCCATTATAGTCACTGTTCTTTCCTTTCTCCTTCTGCACCACAACCATTTTTCATATCGTCACAACTATTTTGTCTCTTCCTCTTACACGTGGTGATTATACCTAGACAGTTTCTGCTAATGGACCATTAAGTTAATCGCTCAGCCCATGTCCTGCAGTTCCTCTGACAGCTTAGCAACTGCTGCTGTAGTCCATTTAGAAAACACTGCATGCAGGAGCAAGGGTTTGTATATAATATAATAAACTATATATAAAGGTTGACAAATATTGCTCTCCCATTTAACGGTTTTTCTCATTGCCCCCTGCCCCTACCTCATCACATTGTGTGATCCTGTGAGCAATCTCCTTCAACTCTTTCATGGATTTTTCATCTTGAAAATCATAAGGGAAAGTTTCAGTCCATTCCTTCAGGAGCTGAATGATTTTGGCAGCGAAGGATTTTAGCTTTGCCTAGAAAGAAACAATGAGTTGATTACTGACCAAAGACCTTTCTGACTGCACAGTAAATTAGCTGATGAAGGTTCACATAAAACTAGACACCCTTGAAAATACTTTGCATTAATAGTAGGTGAAGGGGATAAAAAAGAACTTATTTCACTGTGAGCCAGATTCCTAAATAGTATGATTTAGCCTCCTTTCATGATAGCTTGGTAATATCTCTTACCAAACACTTTGAAGATATTCTCAAGGTTAGCTGTATAAAGCCAAGAAGATGACAGAATAGCCTAAGTGACTTATTTGATTGAAGTCAATGGGACTTAAGCTGATTTATGCCATCTGAGGCAGCAGTACCTCAGCAGTTGAATTCAAATGCACAGAAACTGCAGCACTCTACCAAGCACCTTCATGAAAAACATTCAAAAAGACATTTTTGTTCCATAGAATTTATCAGACCCTCCAGATTGAGGTGTATTTAAAATAAATGAATGATAGGAAAGATGTGTGTTGTCTCCATGACATCTAAATCAAAATGGACTTTGAAAATAAAAAGTATTGGCTCTTACTCAAAAAGCTATCAAGCACAGACAGGGGAGGGAGAGCTATTTCCTAAATTCTTCTGTTACCTGTGAATCTTCTAAGGCTTTTCATCAGTTAGGCCTGAATTGGATGCCAATTACTCCACCATCATAGCAACAGAGAGCAGCATTAGTAAATTCAAGGGAGCAGTCTTGTAAAATTGGGAGTGTGAGTGCTAAGAACACTTTTAACAAACAAGAAGAATCAAAACTTAATTCAGGTTATATTTATTCTCCCACCCAACTTGTGATTCACTGAGGAAAAAGAGGAAGCTTTAATTTCTGTTTACCTCCCAACTTGTGTAAGCTAAAGAAGTCCCACTATGCAGGAGCTCCTTTTCCCTACCCACAGTGCACTTTCCTCATAGCACTCTGTCAGCCTCTTAGGGGCTAGAGAAAGTGACTTAGCACGTGAGTGTCACTGATCATAGTATGTCCCAGTTTAATCAAAACCAAAGTCAAACTAACTAAGCTTTTTTTTTGTTTGTTTTTTTTGTTTTGTTTATCTCACTGGAATACAGTCAGTGGGAACAGTAATAAGAACTTTGAAGTTAAACTATGCACCCTTGAATCCTCAATCTGAAAATCAAGGAGCCAGTGCTCCTTGTAAGTCTGAAGGGAATTTTCTTGCTTTTTTTTTTTTTTTCCAGAGCTGCAAACTGCACTCTGCTAGCATGTTTTTCCTTGCTGTTTTTTAATGATAGCATTTAATTGATCCTGCTAGTAAGAAAGACGCAGAATAGTTGGATAGTGAGGGCAAATAGAAAACATCACCATTCTGTTTGCCAGCAGTAGGCATTAAAAAACCTGCAAGGCAATCTCTGCCAATGCCACTCCTGTGGAGCCCAGCTTTGAGGTATTTCTAAACAGCATGGGACAGAGTTCCAAATTATAGCTGTCTGTCCTCCAAACTTCCATTGTCGTCTGCCTTGGGGAAAAGACAATTTATACTTCTTTGCTAAGAAATGTAAGGAGCCTGACATTATTAAAAGAATAAGCTGTAGGTGATGATAGAGAATTAATTAGCCAGCCAGTGCGCTTCCATTTGATTAAAGTTAACAGGTACGTGCCTACTCCACTTTTGTTTAAGCAAAAGCTGCTACAGAACTGTTTTTTTTGGTATTGATTATCCTGATTATTCTTCCTTTTTACCTTTGAGACTGAAAAAGGAGGGATGGGAGCAGGAAGGTTCAAAAATTCTTCCTTAGGCCATGGCAAGCATCTCCATATGAACACACTTCCCATCTCATGTATCTACTCATGAGTTGCTAGGGTTTGCTTCCTTCTTGATGGAACCCTAGGCATCTGTTGCAAGGCAAACTGCAAACCACGTTACTCTTCATGTAATTACTCTTCAGGTATAAAAAAGCTTTATGTTTTATCAGGTGCTTTTAATGCTCATGAAAATAAGTTATGCTTTCTGAGAGCAACACTAAGCATCATTATAGCAAAACATGAGATTCCTGTTTCATGTACACACTGATGAAACCCAAAGCAGCGTGACAGGCTTGATGCACGTCATTTGTGATAACCTAGATAGAAATTACACAGCTATGTGGGTAGCAGCAAGCATTTCCCTTTTGGTCATGGTTGCAATAAACCTACCAATCTACTTTTTCTGTAGTCCTACTCCAGATGTAAGCCGCCCCTTGTAAGGCCTGATACAGAGTTCTCTGGAGTCTATGGGAATACTTCTCCCATAAATATTTCCTTGAGAAGAAAAATACTTCTGTTAATTTAAGTACTGTGGATCAGCCCTGCTCTACATGAGAAAAAACAGACAGTACTGAGAAATGACTAGCAATTAGAAAGGAGAGCAACAGCAGCACTGTGCTTGTAGTGAAAGGGAGTTTTAATGACAATGACCTGGTTATGAGTATTGGTTTGATTTCTGGTTTTAGAAAGTAGAATTTACTGCTGACAAAAATTGAGGGAAATAATAATTTTTAAAGGGACTTGCATATTCCAAGAGAGGCAAGGCAAGTTTCATGGAAACTAACTTCTACTTTCCCTTTTTATTTCTTACTGCTTTAACTTTTTATTTTAAAAAAATACCCTCAAGCTGCAGAAATAATGCACCATAGTTTTAACAGGGTTTTCCAGCGAATACTACTATACAAGTGCTTTTTTCTGTGACAGTTTTGCTTAGGGCTTTCCAATCTCTAACGTGCTTATAGAGAGTTAAATTTTATCCTTTATAGTCAAGCTTAACTACCGACTTGTATATTATAATTTATGTTTTAAAGTGAGAAACTCTTCCTTTTTATGAGAGGCCAAAAGGACTCTAAGCATGCTCTGGGAAATCTCGGAGTGTTTCTCTTTTTGATCCACTTTTCTCTAGGTTGTTTTCTATAGGACTCTTTGGCTAGCAAGTGATGTCAAAAACTAAGGAATGGTAAGTATTGTGGTGTGTAACCTCAAAACCTGGCTCCTTGCCAGTTTTTCAGCTCACACGCTGTCCAGGCAACAAGTCAGCCAGCTTCTCATTTGCTTAGGCAAACCTCTTATCAGAAATTATCAGAGCTGTTTTAACTACTTTTGCCAGCTATTTCCTGCTATGGAGCCACTTAATTAGAAGGTGCTGGTAGCTGATGATACCTTAATGGGTTATGACTGTGAACACGTAGAGTGCCTTGAGTCGAGAATTTCTATGCTGCATGTAAAATGAGCTTTATTTGTTGCCAGATAGAAAAACAAATGTTTGCAAATGCTACTAGCCAAATTATTCCGTAAAACACACAGGTACTTGCAGTTGAGGACAGTAAAGCAGTCATTTGAGAGGGATGTCAGAAGTTTATGTAGTGTTTTCCAAGAATTTTGTTATTTAGTGGGCAGGAAAAAAATACGGTTTATATTAAGGAGGTAGGAAGGGATCAAGGGCATA